CAGCTGTGCAGGTGAAAAAAAACCTGTTCTTGAACCAGCAATAAATGCAGCTTTTACTTTCTTGGTGAAATTTTGATTATTCCCTCCCTCCTCTTTTTGACAGTTGTGTAGCATTTTGGGAAGATCTGTCACCTTACCTGGATTAAGCTGTGCTTCAGGTTAAGCTGTGCTGGGGCTTTCCTCGCCAGAACATACCGTGGACCCTCTCCAGCAGTTCCCTGTCCTTCTTGAACTGGGGAGGCCAGAACTGGTCCCAGTGCTCCAGGGCAGAGCAGAGGGGCAGGATGACCTCCCTCCACCTGCTGGCCACGCTCTTTTTAAGGCACCCCTGGAGATCTTTGGCCTTCTTGGTTACAAGGGCACAGTGCTGGCTCCTGGGCAACTTGTCCACCAGGACTCCAAGGTGTCTCTCTCCAGAGCTGCTACACCCTCACCTGCACCCATTCCTGGGGAAAAGCACAGGCTAAAGAAGAATGAACTGGGGTTCAAAGCCTGAAGGTACCCCAGGTCTTCTTTCTCCATGTGTGCATGACACCAAGTGAAGGATGGAGAGCCACCACCCCTGCTCCAGGGCACAGAAAAGCAGTCACTTGGCAAGAACGGGCTGTACCTCAGCCACAGCTCCCGTGGGGCTCTGGGGGTGAGCTCCTCACCCCTCCCAGGCCTCACTGGCCATGGCTCCAGCCTGTTTTGCCTCCAGCTCCCCTGGGAAGGGCACAGCTGGGCACTGGGACCACTCTCAGATCAGGCTTCACTCCCCAGTCGGTGTTTGCTGCGGTCACAGGCTTGGGGGGGGTAGAGTTTCTTTGCTTTAAACAATTATATACTCCTTTAAATAAAATATGCCCATTGATAACATCTCCAGCAAACATTTACAGAGTTAACAAACACAGAAACTATTGTCATTCCCCCCAGAGAGAAAGTTACAGGCATCAAAGGCTCCTGTGTTCTTTGGAGATGGACCCGTGAGCTCCAGGGGTGCTTATGCAACACACAACCCTACAGCCCACTCTTTATTTTATTTTGCTCTCTGTGTGTGCAAGGTGCTTTTTTCCCCCCCCATTCCTTTGCTTTTTTCTCTCTTGTGGGGACAGAGACCTGAAGAAGAGGCAGCTGAAGGTCCACCTGAAATCACCTGCTCCGTGGGTGCTGGGCACCAGCCTCAGGAGAGACGGGTTGAAATGGGGCTGGTGATGCCATCACTGGTGGGAAAACCAGCATCGGGGGGGGGCAGGCCCTGAAATGGGGCTGAATGTGGTGAATTCAGCCTTTTTTCTTTTTCAACCAGCATCGGGGGGGGGCAGGCCCTGAAATGGGGCTGAATGTGGTGAATTTGGCCTTTTTTTCTTTTTTCCCCACCCCATCACTGCGCAGCCAGTCACATCCCATCACCTCCCAACCACAGCAGGGTGGGTGGGAAGGCCAGGGACTGGAAGGGACCAGGGTCCCAACAGGTCCTCTCCTCCAACAGGTCTGCAAGGCAAGAAGGAAAGGAGAGGGGAAAAAAAAGGGGAGAGAGGAAAAAAAAGGGGAGAGGGGAAAAAGGATAAAGGCTCTGACAGCCCCAGGGCTGGTATCAGAGAACCATAACACACACAGGAATAGGTATAAACTGAAACACTCTGGCAGTGCTGTGAGGGAGATGTTCATGGAAACCCCACACAGAAGACTTTGTAACCTGCTGGGGTGAGGGTGCCAGAACAGCGACAGGCGTGGGCAGGGTAAAAAAAAAAATCAAGTTCTTAATAGTGGAGAAAAATGTCAGAAATGGAAATAAGAAGCCTTCCTGACAGAGGGAATGATTCTTCCCACAAATAAGAGGTGAATTCATTTTCAGAGCTTGGCACCTCTTGCCTTCTGCTTAATTCTGCAGATCTGCTGGGGAGTAGACACCCCTGAAGAGATAACTAAATTCCTAAGCTAAAAAAAAAAAAGAAATTACTAAAACACTGGGAAATTTGGGAGTGTTTTTGGCTTACCTTGTAAATAGTTCTGGGGGGTTTTTTGTGTGCAGCCTTTTGTAGCCAAGTGCAACAGGCTGGACACGCTGGGGAACAGCCTGGGTTTGTTTCCTTATTCCAGTAACACCGGGGGGGAGCTCGCTCGCTCGAAAAAACAAAACAATTCTGCTAAAAGGAACTAAAAAAATTTAAGTACATTCAGCATTTTGGGATTCCTTTGGCCAGCCAGTTTGGAAATGGAAATAGCATTTATTTGTTTAGTCGTTTGGTTTGTGTTTTTTTTTTTTTAATTAATATGCATTATTTCACAGTTTGTTTTTTAAAATATAAGAATAATAAAAATAATTTTGCAATACAAGACAGTGGATTCAGATTCAGTTTTAGGTTTAAACAAGCCTTTATTTCCCAGGACATCCCAGAGATCAGACGTCCTCTACCTCCCCAGCACAAGGACACAAACCAAGACCGTGGCCTTTTTTTATCGCCTGTGTTTCATTTCATTTCATTTCACCCCAAACCCAAAAGACACCTTGTGCTTTGAAAGCCAGACCCCAGCACAACTCAGCCCACTGCAAACAATCACGTCTGTTGATTTTGTCACCGATTCAACCCCATACGGCTCTCCCCATCTCCAGGATCCTGCTGTCTCCTGCCAAAAATCACTTGCGAGTATCTTGTGACATCCTTTAACAGGAACACGAGCGCCGAGGGCAGTGAGACACCAGGGCAGCTTCTCTGGGGCTGGAATGCACCAAAAACACCCCCCTCCTGCAAGAATTGGGATTTTTGTGCTGCCCCCACACGCCCCACGCTGCTCTTCTCCATCAGACCTGACCAAGTGATTGCTCCCAGCCATCTCTCACTCTTCAGCAGCAGCACCACCTTCTCCCAAATTACTTAGTCCAAAAAACTGTACTTTGAAACACAGACCCCTCTTTCTACAGGATGTAATTAGACTTTTTGTCTAAATCATTAAAAACTGGGTTTTTTCTGCAGGGGGGGAGGAGGAGGGCAGCGTGTGTCTCAACAAGCCCAGGTGTCTGGGTCCAGAGCAGCAGCCCTTGGCACGAGCTGTCCCAAGGAAGCCCTGGTTCTGCTCCCACTCCCCCTCCTTAGTGCCCTGTTTCAGCAGAAGCCACATTAAGGCAGGGGCTCGTTCCCAGATCTCAGGGATTTACAGCAAAACAAGGTTCTGGGAACACACACCAAATCTGAAAACTCCCTGTCCCAAGGAAGCCCTGGTTCTGCTCCCACTCCCCCTCCTTAGTGCCCTGTTTCAGCAGAAGCCACATTAAGGCAGGGGCTCGTTCCCAGATCTCAGGGATTTACAGCAAAACGAGGGCTGGGAACACACACCAAATCTGAGACCTCCCCGAGCCTCCTCGGGGAAAGCTGCTCCGCCACCATCACCCCTCCTCAAAGGGGAAGATCCCAGGATCTGGGTATTTCTAGGTTCTGTGACAGGGGTGAAACAGAGCTTTGCTCGCTCAGATTTCCAGTTTGTACCAGTTACAGAGTGGAGGGGGACTGGTTTCAGACTCTCTGGGTTCCTCTGGATGATGACACAGGGCAAAGAACCCTCCTGTTGGATCACTGTAGGCAGCAACCGGCTACAAAACACAAGAGGAACGATTCAAGAGCAGAGCAATGCCCCGAGAACAGCCCCCAAAATCCCAGAACAGGGCTAGAAACGACCCCCTGGGCACCTGCCCGTCCCCCAGCCAGGGAGGGGGGAACACAGGCTGGGGAAAGTGAGGCAGGAAAAGCCCAGAGCAGCAAATTCCAGTTCCCTGCATCCCTGGGATGGTGGCGGGGGGGAAGGAGGGGAAAAAAGTCAAGCACAGATTTCAAAGTAACCGAGAAATACTTTTGCAGCAGGATCTTCTCCCTGGGACAGGAAGAATGTAACCAACAACGTTATCTCCCTCTTACCTCAGGCTCCTCTAATTCCTCCTGCTTAGTGCCTTCTCACCGCTCCCCAACACATTCTGTAGTTTACTATTATTTTTCCCAAATGAATGGTCTCATTTATGCAGAATACACCTCAAAAGGGTTTTTTTTTTCCCAGTCTTTTCATTACACCAACTTACCTATTAAGCAATTTTAAGTTTCAAATCAGCATTTTGAAGTTAAGGTTTTTATTTTGCGCTTCTCTGAGACCTGCTGTGACCGTCTCACCCGCCGGTCCCCTGCCTCAGCCACACAGTCCTCATCTCCCACAGGCCAGACAGATTTTCCTGAATAAATTCCTGGAGTTTCAGGGATTTTTTTTTTCTTTGTTTTCTTTTGGTTAGGGCTTTTGGGTTGGTTAGGTTTGGGTTTTTTTGAGGACTAAAGGATTTTAATCTTCAAAGAAGCGCTATTTTGTGGTTGTTCACTCGATGTTATATTCTTCCTTCAAACAACTATAAAGGCTGAAGAACCTAAGAACACCGAAGGGACAGGAATTCCCATTATCAAATTCCCTTCAAAAAATTGGCCAGGAAGAAAAAGATGGAATTTCTCTCTGAAACAAACCAACCCACCCCAGAATCTGCCCCAAGCCCTGCTGCTGGAGCAGAGTGTTGTATGTCCCACTGATGTTCTGCTTCCCTCTGCTGTCTCCCAGCAGCAGCACAGCCACCTCCTGCCAGCCCCAAATAGTGCTGCCTTCAAAATAACCCCAACCCACAAATTAAGCTTAAGGAAAGCTTTATATTTTTTTTATTTAATAATAAATAATAAAATTATTACTAAAGTTTTGTGGTTTTTTATTTCTAAAGCCCGCAGCACCGAGCAGCGCTATCCCCGCTTCCCTCCAGCTCAGCATTCCATGAAATACCAGCCACGACCCACCAACTGTCTCCTGCTGTGATTTACAGCCCAGGGGAAAGCCAACTTCCAGCAGGAGAAAGGCTTCGCAGACCAAAGCCACTTCACAAAGTAAAACTATCAAGAACCAAAGAATGATCACGGAAATCAGGAGTCCCAGGTGGCACACAGCAGCCTTGCCTATGGGACATCACCCCTCTCAAGAAATGAATCCCACAGATGCATTAAAACCATCCAAACAGCAGTGGTCTTTATTTCTGTTAGACAAGGTAACACTCCCCTTCATACGAATTTATCTCAACGTTTGGGAGATACGGAAATTGGCGCCTGTTAAAAAAAAGTGAAATAAAACCCCTTCCAAAAATCTCTTGGATAATATCTGAATATTACACTGTCCCTGTGATGAGCCCTTTCCGTGCCGTGACATCACACGCAGCTTTGCAAGACAAAACAATTTATGGGCTGGTTTTTTCAGCCTCTGATTTGTGAGCCCTCATGGTGCCCGAGAAAAGCAAGTTCGTGCGTGCTGTGCTGCACGGAGGCCCAGGTACAGAGATCTCAGCTGGGAAAAAATAAATCATCTAGAGGGGTCCACAAATCACAAAAAAAAAGAGAGAAAATACTGTATTGGAATAAACCCTCGAATCCCAGTGACCTGGAGGGAAAGTTAACATTAGCTCAAAACCAGACAATGCATTAGGCAGTTCATTTTCTAATTTTAGAAACTGGGCTTTGAAATAATGCAGTTATCAGTTGGTTTTGATTAAGATAAAAGTTAAGAATTGCAGACTACAGAAAAGTCTTCAAATAAATGAAAAAAAAAAAATCTCTTCCCTTTGTCATCTAACGCCAAGAACGTACCCCATAAATAACAGCTGTACTTGGGGACTCTGCACGTACATCAGGGATGTTCCACACAAACAGGATTTCATCTCAGTGCCAAAGCAAGAATTAAAGTTTTAGTTCGCACCTTGTTTAGAATTTTTAACGTGGAGGAGAATGAGTCCTGCAAGAGCCACTGGTGCCTGTCCCTGTTGCAAATCCCGACTACCCCTGCCCCCAGCAAGCTCTCTCCCAGCCTCTTGCCAAGGAACACGGAGTCCAAGACAGCTCATACATTTATTTTTTTGGAGGGGCAAAGGGGGTGTTAAATAATAAAGTGTCTCATCTAATGTGGAAAGGCAAAAAAAAAAAAATAAATCAATGACTAGTTTTCACAGTAAAATGCATCAGCTTTGCAGTTTCATTTGAAACCAAGAACAAATCATGAAACGTCATGAAAATAAGATAAAAAAAATCTCCTAGAGTGATTACTAAATGAAGTTAAAATTACCACACTAATCAGTAAACCCCAGAAGAAAAGCAGATGCCTCATATTACAGGTCCTACATTAAACAGTATCCACTTTTTTTAAAATAAATCCATAAAATCTGTTTGTTTGGCCACTTTGCACATTTTTCCCCTAAAAAATACAGTGTACAGAAAAAAAAAGATCTTGTTATTCCCAGTATGAATTCTGAAGTAGAAGCTCAAAACCCAGAAGTTAAAGATCAGCTAAAAGGATTTAAATTATTTACAAATCCAGCAGGTAGAACTACCATAATGGCTTCGTTTCCATCCTTGTAGTGGCTTTCGCTCTTTTCCAGCAGCATCTGCAGTGGGAACCTCCCCCAACAGCTCCATCACTGATCCTCTGTCATCTTCAGCAACTCCAGCAGAGCCCCAACAGCTCCAAAATAACCCTTTCAACAAGGCAAAAGTCAAACAAATTCCCAAGTAAGACGTAAGCATGAGCACGTGAAGTCTTCAGCTCTGGTATGGCAACTAAAAGACTCTTCTTATAAGATGAGCCCTGTTGAAATCTGAATTATGTTTCAATATGATCTTCTTTAGGTCCAAGAAAAGGCTTTATACCAGGAGAAACCTCACACACTTCTTCAAAGTTGTCAAAAAAGTACAAGTTACAGCCCCACTGTAACGATGCTGTACTGAGGGAGGGCAGTTTCCATTTTTAATACATCCATCTGGAAATTAGGCTTATAAAATTTAATTCTAGTTGAGGTTTCTGTACCAGACCCCGCAAACGAACACTGTGGGTACCGGGGTCAGAAAGCAAAAATGAGAGATGCACAACGTTGAGCAATAAATACCCCAAGATTAGTGATTAAGCCAGAGAGTTAACAAGGGGAATTTTCAAATGTGTCTGTAATTAAAGTGTATTTACACAGATGTGGCAATGAAATTCTCCCTTTTTCCCTTCACCACGTCAAGAACCACAAGATCTCTGTACTTCCAAATAAAAGTAAGTTCAATGTGCATTTCCTTACCTCGTGTTCCAAAAACAGTGCTTTCAGCTGTCCCTTGGACCAATAGTCCATGGCGTACGCGAGCACCTTCATGGAGATCATGTTAATTCTGAGGAAGTTGCCAACAAACACCACCTTGTCGATGTTCTGCAACATGGAAAAGCAGAGCAGTCAAAATTAGATTCAGCTACAACATCGGCCCCATTCAACACGTGCTTCTGCCTCCACTATGGAGTGAAATGGGAATTTTGGGTTACATTTACATTCTCCAGACTGAAAAGTAAAAAAAAAAAAAATTAAAAAATTATTGTAGTTCCTGACCACTAATTAGGATGTTGAAAGAAAAAAAAAAAGAAAAGTTTTATTCCAAAGACGATGAATATTCACTTAAAGCCCAGACCTTCCCGACATCAACAGGATTAAGGATGTTTTGTTGGAGCTTTTTGGTGTTTTTTTTGGTGTTTTTTTTAATTGTAGATTACATTGCTGCACTAAAGGCATCTTTTCCCCCTGCTTGTTAAATAAAGCAACTTATTTATTTTTCCTGAATGCAGGCACGAAGCTGCTGGTACCAGGAGCTCCAGCAAGCAGCACCTAACGCCGAGTATAAAAATTACTGATAATTTAAAATCTAAAAATACTCGTCCTACCTACTAGAGCAGCAGTGCAAATTTCACGTCAATTTTATTTGCCAACCTTCCTCCACTTGACGAGGTTAAAAATTACATTGTCTAGATTTTTGAACTGAACTACAAAGAGTTTTAGCCTTTTTCAGCAGTGGGAAAATGAAGAAATGCTACTTCTATCTCTTCAGGGCCTCCTGCCGAGTTACTTTTCAGCTGTTTGCTGCTGGAACACTCCAAGCTGAAAGACAGAAACCTTAAACTGGTGGAGGGACGGTGATGGTGATGAAACACTCACTTAAACTAACCCAATTACAACATCCTGGAGAAGACACACACTCTCACTCCAGGGGATTTTTGGGAATTGTTTGCTTCCCCAGCAGCAGAAAGCCACAGCACACCTTTAATACAGCAGACACACACACTTGCCAATAGAACAGAATGGGGGAATCTCTATCAAAGATGCAGTGAAGAAACCCACATGTATTTTTGCAAGGAGACTGGTTCAGATGCCACTTCCACGTTCCACTTTCCTCCTCCCACGTGAGGAAAGCAGGAACCAGGGACTGGTTTCCTTCGCGCCGTCCTGCCCCGCCTGGGACAGACCCTTCCAAATGATGTGGAGCCAAACACTTCCAGACTATGGAATTTTTTCTGCCCCGCTGCCAACTTTGTGCGAGCAAACTTGGCTTTGAAGTGCTGCAGACAGAACGTTTCATTGATTCCCCAGCCTCTTTTTTTTTTTCCTGCACACATGCAAGTCATTTGCAACACAATATTAAAGCTGCAATCATTGAAAAAAAAACCAACCCCAAACTTATCAAAACTTGTGCTTCAGGGCATCAGTTGATTTTGTTGAAGAACCTAAAAGTGAGCTTCACCGTAACTCTAAGCTAATACACATGAACTCCACAAAAGAATATATCATTTGCAACTGGTTTTTAAGCTGAGTCGGGCATTTCACTCACGGAGCCCGGTGAGAGTCAGAGCTGTATCTCCCAAAGGCAATTTAGGTGTCCACATTATTTAGCAGAACAGCAGCATTACTCTTTTTCCCCCCCTGAGAGCAAGCTACCCAGGGATTAGCTTACTTGCAATGATATACCACATTTGAATTTTTTATAATAGCACCTAAAGCGCCTAAATGACATTTTCATTCTCTAAAGCTACAGAATTTAGGTTCAAGCGTTGGAAAAAAGTTCTCCTTTGGCATCGCCTGAGAAATGAAGATGACATCAATCCACTTTCCTCCACAGAGCTCTAGGGACCGTGTGTGGTTTGTGAGGACAGCTGCCCAGAGCTGTGGGCAGGGCGTTGGGAAGCTCTCCTTTCCTCCTGGGCTCTCTGCTGCACCTCTCCATGCTTTGATAGCCCTGTACAATGCTGCTTGAACTCCATGCCACAAGGCAACACTGTAAAGAAGCTGAAAGCAAAGAGAACGCCGAGAAAAGGAGTCAAATCGCCAAAAAAAAAAAAAAAAAAGAATAACACCTGTAGGCTCTTTTCCCGACGAAGGGAGGTTTGTTTGCAGTGGCACACTCTGGGATTTGGGCTGTTCATCGCATTTTTGAAGCGCTCTGGGAAGGACTTTTACTGCCCCACAAAGGCAGGAACAGCAGAGCCATGCTGAAGAGACTCACACCCAGTGATGGAGGAATAAAGCCGCAGATGAAGTTTAAATTAAAGAAGTGAAATGACACAAATGGAAGGAGGGAGAGAGACCTCAGTGACCAGACACAGAAACAGGCTCCGCATCAGCCACCCCCGCTCAAGACAGACCGGGGACGGCTCCTGAGATGTATCAGCTCCGTGCCCACAACAATAAAGGAACTCAGAACATGGAATTTATCAATGGGCATCATAAATTCACTGTGCAGCCCCACTCTCAATTCTGCGTGAAGATCTGATCATTCGATCTCAAAATTATAAACCATAAGAAGATTAAAAAGAAAGAATGAAATGGTGCGAGACACCGAGTGTCTTCTGTCAGAGAGGAGACCAAGTGCTACAACGTTCTGTCTTGCAATGAACACAAGGGAGATGGGGGAAAGGTTATTTTAAAAAAAAAACCAAAACCAAAAAACCAAAACCCACCAAAAGCACTAGTGATGAATTATTTGGTATTTCTCACAAAGTTGATAACTAGATAGGACCCAATAAAGTAATGAGATGGCAGTTTGGTGAGTTTTTTGGGTTTGCTTTGTTGGAGGTTTTTGGGGAGGAGGGGGCATGTTATTGATTAAAAGATTAAAAAGCAGCACTCTCTTCTAACCACGGGGTACTGTGGAACTAAAAACATCACTGCATTTAAAATAAGATTAGGTAAATTCATTGAAAGCAGACAGAAGAGATTAATTACCACATAACAGCGAAGGCTGCAATTTCCAGCTCAAAGCAGGTGTCTAAATGTTTGGGTTTGGTTTGGTTTTTTTTAAACTCTCAGAAGTTGGAAAGGGGTGGGAATGGAACAATCCATCCACATTATCCTGCCTAAAGAAAAGACCATAACAAGCACCTGATGGGAGCTCGAGGCAGGATAATGAACTGTTTTTTCTTCCCTCTGCCCCAATACAATAGATCTTGCATCCATTCCAGGCATTTAACACAACAGACAATTCAAACCCACCAGGCTATGGAAACAAGCCAAGCAAAATAATATTTATAAAAATATAATCTGTCATGGTATAGTAAGATCTGTTAGTATCAACAAGGTAATTCAGAGTATTAATTTGGATTACAAAGGTGTTAGTATCACAGCTTGGGAGCAGCTGAACAGCTCGAGGAGATCTTTCACAGGCAACTTTTCTCCCTTCTTCAGCACCTTTGAAGCTCAAAGTACCTTATACTTTGCGTCCAAACACACACCTAACACAGATCACAAGAGTTGGGACCCCACCTTAAATATATGCATAGTTATCAAGGCCAGTCACGCACACAGCAATTTGCATTTTTGCATTCTGATAATCCTCCTAGGTTGTTTCTGAAGGTTTTTAGCTCGTAGCAAACACGCCCTCTCACCTCATTGAGCGCACACATGCGAGCAATGGACCCGATGTTGTTGGTGATGGTGACCAAAGTAGCTCTGGCCAGGTCCTCTTTACTGATGGAATCTCTCTTCTCTTTACTCATCATATGCCCGAAGCTGTGGGAGGAAGATTATTCTTTTTAATAGGAGTTATTTAGGAGTGCCGAAAGCCCTTTTATCATTTAATAAGCTTTGCTTGGATTTAAGAGACAGATGTGAACATGTCAAAAGGGATGCCGTTGGAAAGGCAGAACAATGAGCAAAGACACTTCTAACATAACTAATTTAAAGGGCAGCAAACTGCACCAAACATCTCTTACACCTGCTAAAAAAAAAAAAAAAAAAGAGCAAGAAGTAGGTGAGAGATCTAAGGACAAGCCACATGACCCATTCCGAGTGACATTTCCACAGGGAGCCAGTGCATAGTCCAGGGATTACGCGCTGAGTCCGGCACACACAGCAAGTTTCCCAAGGAACTCCTGAAAAACAGCTCAATGAACACATACCTGGAGGCGACAGCAGAGCCCTGAAGGCCAAACCTCTCGTAGTCCCCTCCGTAAATATCCTTCACCAGCTTATCCACGTTGGTGCTGTCTCCCTTCGCGGCCATCTCTAGTGCCTCCTCAAAGGTCTCGCAGCCCGTCAGCAGGCAGCACAGCCCCAGGAACGTCCCTCCTCCGAGGCTGCAAAAGCAGAGGTCCTTCAGCCCAGCATCTCCCACCACCTCCCACCACAGCTCTCCAAACTCCAACAGGGCCACCAAGGGCACCCCACAACTCCTCCCGCACACAGGTGAGGGCAGACACCCTACATTGCCTTCTGATTTAACACAAACATCACCCCGAGTGGTTTTAACCGAACTACGCTGAAGTCCTTCATGTTTAAATAGGAGAAACGATGCTAAATAAAGGGTTGGCTGAGAACAAGGTCCGACCCACCAACACAGACTTCACTCTGCTATTTGTAGCACTCTCACAGGCTTTCCCTGTGCCAGGATAATTAGCCAGCAGATCGCTCAGTCAGTGATGAAGGAATAAACAGTGATCAAAGCTAAATACCTCCGCAGAGGCAGCAGCCAGGAGAGATCTGTCCCCCAGCCTGGCTGGTTCCTGCTCCAAGCACGGCCCAGAATGTCTCAGCCTCCAAAGAACCCTGAGCAAGGAGCAGCCACATGAGTGTCTCGGACGGGCTCACATACAATATTTACTGACTATATCAATTTAGCTGGGACTGTCTGACTGGGCATCACAAGTTGTGAACTCACTTCATTAAAGTTCTACCTTGGACTCTTCAGTCTGAACAGACATATCAATTTAGCTGGGACTGTCTGACTGGGCTTCACTCACTTCATGAAAATTCTACCTTGGACTCTTCAATCTTAACAGACGTCAACTTCAACTGACTAACCTCTACCTCCTCTACATCCTGCCTCATCCCCTCTTTACCCTGGAGAAATTCAGGGTTTGCAGGGATGGCAGTCCCACCGCCAACATAGGCACCAGTGAGACACCACACGTGCACCTGGTGAGGAGTGATGGGGACACCATTCAGCCAGTGCCCTTGGATTATTAGCAAGTTTTTCAGAAGCCCTCTAGAAGTGCTGTGACACACCATACTCAGTAAGGGAACAGCAGGAAGCCCTGCCCACCAGCCGGTATTGATTTCATCACCTCTAACAGGCCAGCAGCACCCTCCAGTCACGTTTTCCTGCCACAGTGGAAAATAATCAGAAGCACATCCAGATATATCAAAAGGGCTATGCTTGGAAAACAACCAGAATTGCAAGAAAAACAATACCTCTTCCATTCAACTTTTTGTTCATCTGTATAAAATACAGAAAATGGCTCATTATGGCCAAGACATGCCCTAGATAAGGCGACAGAAGACACATACGCAGCCACGTGCAGTACACAGGAGAAACTTCACTTCTATGCACTGAAGGAGAATGCAGGTCTGGAAGAGGCTGTGGCAAATCCAAAAAGCTTCTTTGGTCGCTGTTTTGAAACGGGATTTTATTTTTACGTTTCTGTTTTGGCGGGTTTCTTGTTTTTAACATTACTAAAAATGAAGTATATCAATTTAGTTTGCTTGTGTGGGGAAAAGTGGGACAGATTTATTGGTATTTTTACTATAAGTCTGGATGGATACAGTTGTAAATAAAGTTGTTTCCTATAGGCAAGCACTGCTGCCCCAGCTACAGAGTCAACTTCAACACACCTCGGGCTGTTTTGCTGGTCTTGAGCACAAAATTCTGCACCCACCCCACTGAACTCCTCAACTGAGCAGGGGCATCTCCATTTCTCACTGAATATGGGCCAGAGACCACATCAACTCAGCTGTACCCTACAAATCATCTCAGACAGCACCGGCTGACCCAGCCTGAGGACAAACCAAGGACACAGACAACCAGATCCTAGTCTGTACACACTGGTGTTCCTTAATTCACCAGCATGGTCCAAAGACCAGCGCAACCTGGAAGGAAACAGGAGATTCAGTAAGATTCCTCTGTTAAAACCCAGTAGTAGCAGGTTATTCTACAGCCTAACTACTAAGCAAGAGGTTTTTGCTTAGCTCAAACATTTTTATTTCACTGCTCTGGCTGTCCTGAGGGATCAAAGCAGGGGAGACAAGATTCATTTACTGAGACAGCTTTATTTTGGTCATATCACAGCAAGAAATATGAAATAGGTAGGAACACCAAGAAGAGACTAAGGCAGCTCTATAGCTGAAGGATCCAAGATTTCTCTGATGTTGACCTGCTCTCTGAAGGAATCCTAGGATTTTCCAGCCTTGCTACTGGTGGGGCTTTGAAGAGAAATGGGAAGACAAGCACAATTTGGGGCTGCACCTACTACTCACACTACCAGTTCTATCTGTTCAATTATTAAGGAGAAAATAAATAAATAGATAGAATTAAAAGAACACAGAATTAGTTTACCTGGATCCTGTGACTCTCTTATAGTTGTCCTTGGAATACACAGCCAGGATGCTGACCCCTGAGCCGATGTTAACCAGCAGCATAGGATATGGATTATCAAGGCAGTAAGGTTTTTTCTGGCACTGTTCAGGATCTGTGGGGTTTTCGAAATAATAGCACTCGGGCTGGCCATTGAAACCAACAGAGTCAACGTAAAGGAGGCCTTGGATCAAACAGTCCAATTCGTCCAGTTTATGGAGTTGCAGATCAGCAATCTGGAAAAGAACAACAACAAACCAATAAACACACATTTCCCAGTATAAGACAACAAGGAAGGACAAAAGGCTCCGCTGAAGCACTTTGATGACTTTAATAGTAACACATTATGTTATTGAAACAGTACAAAGATCTGCCCGAGCGTGAAGTGCAAAATAAAAGGAGTTTTTTATCTGCCTGACGACGGGTGCCTTCCAAAACAACGATGTGCTGCGCAGTAACGTCATGTAGTTCCTTTGCTCTGGAGATATCCCCTGCCTGCCAGCAGGAAATGTTTCTGCCCCTCAGTTTTCTGAAGCAATAAATCTCTTCCCCCTCATCCCCATCCCAGGAGGAGCTACGGCTTTTGGGCGGTACCCGACACCCGCCTGCACAGCAGCATCCCTCATCCCACCACATCTCCCAGCAATTTAATCACATTTTTAATAGAAGCATTAAGATCAAGAAACTTCAGTTAAAGAAAAGATAACCTTACAAAGTGCATGTGCTTATGTTAATGGGCATTGAATATGCAGTGGATTTTGTTTAACTTAAAGATTTACTTTTTCTTTTTTAATGTATGTCCCCAGTAATCTGAGAGATGTATTCCTTGAAATTACGATGAGCACTTTAAAATGCCTCAGGAAAATAGGGTATTCCCGATGTTTGGTGAAAACCAGCGATTTACTTTTTCTTTTTTAATGTATGTCCCCAGTAATCTGAGAGATCTAGTCCTTAAAATTATGATGAGCACTTTAAAATGCCTCAGGAAAATAGGGTATTCCCGATGTTTGGTGAAAACCAGCATCATAACAGAAATATCATCAGGCCCATGTCCCCCACAAAATGTTCATTAAAAATTTAACTGTAACAGAAAGCAGAAAAACGATTATAAGACCTTCAAAAGCACATTCCCTCTGAGATCTCCCAGGTCACTCTTGACTGTACTCAGACATGTCTACTTGCCACAGCATTCTGTCCTCTGGAATGAGAAATCACAGCCCTTTCTCAAAATAGGATACGGTGACAATCTGCAGAAAGTCTCCTTCCCAAGTGACAGTGACCTCAGGCTCGTGCTAGGGAGAGGAGAGGGGGGAAAAAGAGTGAAGTTGCCAAATCCCGAGGACATTTGCATCATGACACATGAAAGGCAGGTCTAACCCAACGCCGCTTCTGGCAGCAAGAGACACGGGGCATTAGGAACAAAAGGGAGTCACAGAGCTCAGAGCTGCTTCTTAAACACTTGCACGTTGCTGGATGTTTTTATAACAGCTTTTGGAGGAGATCTGCGAGGTTAACTACCTCCTATTTTTAATTCTAGAGGCTATATTAAGTCACTACAAAGAGGAAAGATATTTCTGTGGCACGGGCATGGCCAGTAGGTTACATTCTTTTGAGTTATTTAAATCTCTTCCCTTAAGTTTCTTTCCTCTACTTGTGCACAGCTCCAACTTGCCTGAACTGAAAACCCTTCCAGTCTTTGGGTTTTTGTTACACTCAAATCCTACAGCCAGAGAATAGAAATATGACCCAAACCCCCCCCAAACCAGCAGTCTCAGAGATATAGATACAGTTATTCATAGGACAATAAAGTGGAGAGAATTTCTTCCTGCTTCAGTATCTCCTGAAACAAGTATATTCCAGTATTTTGCAATCCCTTCATGGTTTTGTCTTGGTTACCACATGGCTACACAAATTACAATTGCAGAAATGCAGCATAACAGACTTAAACCATTTAGCCAGCAAATAAAAGAATAAAAACAAATTAGGGGAAGAGGTTTTTATAGAAACATTACAAAAATCTTCAGGCTATTTTGCAAATATCTTGGATTTCAGCAGTTTCTTGCTATTAGGCTGAGGGGAAAAGCTCTGATCAAGACACAGTACAAGGCATTAATGTACTAAATGCTTCATACCCTCTTTCTCCCCAGGGACACCACGGAGCCCACTATGTCATCACTCACTAGAGCATTTATTTCTTTTGTTAAAGCTCAACTCATGTTGCACAGAGCTAGTCAAAATAAGGAAAAATTCTATATGAACCATGATTTATCTCCAAGTTACGTGCTGTATGGTCTCACTTTCCTCATCTTACTGGGTAAGCCAGATGCAGCAGGACCAAACACTGATACAGGTACAGCATCCACTGATGCTCTGAACCAGGAGCCTCCTACACAGAGACAAGTCATTATATGCATATATCTCATATATATATCTATAATATAGAAAGACAAGTCACTTGTCCCTGCCCAGAGTAGGGGGTTGGAACTAGATGATCTTCAAGGCCCGTTCCAACCCAAACCATTCTATGATGAGCAGATTTATGGCCCCTACTGCTTTTCTCTCATCAACCTCACCCTGTTGTCCAGCAGTAAGAGACCTTGCGAGAAATCAGCAAACAATATGAATCTAGAAGTAAGACATCTAGATGATCTTCAAGGTCCGTTCCAACCCAAACCATTCTATGATGAGCAGATTTATGGCCCCTACTGCTTTTCTCTCATCAACCTCACCCTGTTGTCCAGCAGTAAGAGACCTTGCCAGAAACCAGCAAACAATACGAATCTAGAAGTAAAACACTTCTGGCATTAGTGCAAAAACACAGACAAAACTCTTTTGTTTCTAGCGCCTTCCTGGTCAGGCCACCAATTCTTTGGCATTAGTGCAAAAACACAGACAAAACTCATTGTTTCTATCACCTTCCTGGTCAGGCCACCAATTCTGTAAGGACAGAACAGGAGAAACTAATCAAAGGTTCTTTTTCAAGCACTGAGCGTGGAAGTCTTATTAGCTCCAGCCCGTATCAAAGACATAGCAGGATCCACTCTGCGTTTTATAGCTCTGTGCTATATTTAACAGCTGATATCCTGTAGGCAGAAAAGCCCCATTACTGCTTGCTTTCATCTACAATATTCATAGCAGACTCAAAAACTATTTTTCTGCATTATTGCAGCAGTTCTGGGTTTTGTTTTTGGAAGGAGCAACACAAGCATCAGTATCCCATGTCGATCTGCCTTCGTTCCGAGGGTGAGCTCTGCAGCCACCCAACCTCCCAACAGCCCCAGGAACCACTGCTTTTCTTGTTTCTAAACCCAAATTAGGGCATAGTTGCAAGAAATGTAGTAACCCGGACTTGTGCAAGAAGCTGTGACAGAGCCAAGGTGACAATCCCCAGTCCCTTTCCCTGCACAGAGAGCTGACTTCTCTCTACTCCTTTTTCTGCTCACAATGACTTCAGCAGCAAAACTGCATCAAAAAACAGATGTGCCCATAAATATCATAATTTCTGTACGAGTAAGTGTTTTCTGGTGCCATCCCCTGACATACCACACTCTACTTCTTACCTTCCTGCTGGTCAAACCCCTTCTCCTCGCAGGAATCAAAGTTTATATGCAGAAACACAAATCAAAACGGGGAGCTGTGTGTAGAAGCACATTTCAATTGGATGTTTTTCCTGCAGCTTTTCAAAAAATGCATTTGCAGATATTTTCCAGCCCTTCACAACCCCGAGGTGAGGGCAGGCAGCAGAACTGAGCCTGCTCTGGGCTCCTGGAACTCCAGTCAGCACCATGCCTCTCTAGAAAAGCTTTAGGGCAGAAAGCTGTGCTGAGAGGAAAAACTGCAGAATAAAGTCCTACACAGGACCCTGGAGGGAAAATTTATGATGGGTACAGGGAAACCATATGCACATTTTTTTAGAAGAACCATTTTTCTGCATTATAGCCAGACTGTACAAATTCCTCTTTATTTTAAACTGTTTTTTTTTTTTTTAAGTATCAGGAAGGGAAGAAAATACTTTGGACCTCAAGGAACTCTTCAGGATCATCAGAAAAAGAGACTCAGGACTTTAACCACGATTACAAGCAGGTGGATCACAGGAACCAGTGAACTTTTCCCCGGGACAGCTCATACCCAGTGGATTTCAAGGATACACAAAAGGTGTGTTGTTCCTGTGCAGGGATGTTATTCTCAGGAGAAAGAAATCACACTTCTTGTCGTGCACTTGCAAGAAGTGCTAGAAAACAGTACTGGCTGCTCCAGTTCAGGTTGAGTTTTTTGGTTGGTTAGTTTTCTGGGAGGGGGTTTTGTGGTGTTTTTCGTTGTTTGTTTTTTTTTTAATATGCATAATGTCAAACAGGTTTTAGCCATATTCAAGAAAGAAACTGTTAGGAACATAACATCTTGCAAGTTTTTCATTATCAATTACACCAGCCTCATTTACTATATCACTCTGGCTTTTAGATGCCTTCTGGGCATTGCTCCAGTTTCTATTTCTTATAATAGCTTACGGTGTAGCTTTTCCTTCCATTACCTCTCCTCCACTTTCCTAAAGACATACTTTGCTTCCTTTATGTTTTGATTGCCTTCACCTCAACCCTGCTTCTCTCTGGGCTCAGACAAGGTACTCCCCCAGCTGATCCCTCACCTGAGGCTGGGAAATCCCCACTCACCTTCAAACAAGACAAACTCTAATGCAAATAAAGGGTATTTTGGCTGAGGCAGGAAAAAGTCACCCTGTGAGCTGCATGGATCTTGTCCATCTCCTGACAGGGATACCCATTGCTTCTCCCCGTTCCCTCTGCAGCTTCTCAGGGTGGGGGTAACAGAAGGTATCACGGTTCCTTCCCTGTTCTCTGGATGCTTTCAGCTCCAGCCCAGCACCTCCAGCCTCCTCGAGCACACAAGGTGTTACCAGCTCACTCATCCAACAGCACAGGACAGCGAGTTTATTTCTCTGAAGGTAAATACAGTCCACGAGTCACCTAGTGTCAGTTTGTGTTGGTCACAGGCTTCCTTCCTTCCTGCCTTCCCCAAACGCTCTTTATTAAGAGGCTGGGTTTTGGCCCAGGCCCTGCTTTCATAGAAGCCAGGAGTAAAATCTCCATCAAGATAAGTCTGGAGGTGTCTGTTTGGGGGAGGAAAACAAAGATCATACCTTTGAGGCACTGCCGTTGGCAGGAATTTAGCAACAGAGCAGGTTTGAGACCAAAGCCTGGGCAGTCCTTTCTTCCCTCTTTCCCCAGATATCCTTTACAAAACGAGTGACAGCCCAGGAATTTATTCCCCATTACATTTGCAGCACACGTTTGTGCAAGTCAGGTGTATGTGCTGTCAGGAAGGACACAGTATAAAGAGATTTATATTACAGGTACACAAGCAGATAAATCTATGTACTCAGAAGTGATGTTACAGAACATGCAAGGTAGTTGGGGAAAGGAGGGAGGATTATCAGAATTAGGCAACAGGTTCATCCATGCTTTAACACCACAATTATCTGAAAATGAAATCAGCCAGCCACAGAGACCAGCCATTTAGAAAGGGGGAAAAAAAAAGAAACCAAACCCAAGAAAAAAAAAAAACAACAACCCTAAGCTGGAAAGGGTCCCTTTAGTGAATTACTTACTGATACTCTTCAATGAACATTAACTATAACCATCTGGTTGGTAAAATTATTTCTGTGGTCTAGTTTAATGAATAGAGTCAGTTTTCCTGCTTCTAGGGGAAGCACTCACATCTTCAGAATGAGGCAAACGATTTGCCAGGCCCTGATGGGCACTGCTGGCAGCCTCTGAGCAGCCCAGGCCTTCTCCAGGTCTCCCCCACCCAGCACCAGGGAGCACAAGAGATGGGTTCAGGTGGCCAAACCTACTTAATTTTGGACATTTACCTGCCTTTCCATGGCACAAAAGACAGGCTTGAGGTAAACAGAAGGCGCCTCCTGATTATGGTTTATTTTTTTAATGCACAAAAGCAACAGAGATGTCTAAATCAAACATATTTAACTCATTTAGGGATTCAGAATTAGACACCGGAATAGGCAAGCAACAACAGGATATTTGCCTAAAGCTGCTGTAACTGGAATCTTCGAAGGATTCCTTCTTTGGGATCCGAATGCTGTTTTGCAATGTTAGATCTTTTGTCCTAAATCTACGCAATCCTGGTTGTCGCATAAGCATTTAGAAATACCATGAAAGACAAACAGCTTAAAAGCCTGTACATAGGGAAATAGAGGGGCTGAAGAAAAGCGTGTTACCTCTATCGATTTCAGCAGTTTCCTAGCTTGTAGCCAGATTTTCTTGATGAAATTCACAACATTCACAAACATACTTTAGCTTTTCCACACTGCTTCTACGGCACAGAAACAGGAACATTGAAAGCCTCCTCCATGTAAGGTTTTACATTCCCCTGTACAGTCCTGGAGCCTGCAGCAGCAGGGTGTTAGACTTGGCACACGCTCTCCGCTTCTACAGGTGCGCTGGAGTGCTCAAATATTTGACACAGACACTTCAGTGCCTCCGAGAGGGCAGCCCCGGGGCTGTTGTCTGATGTCCATGCCCAGGCAGCAGGACACCCAGACAGGAGGCTGCCGGTACAACGCTAACCAAGTGTGACAATTTAAGTGCCAGTACCCAGGACACTCAGCCCTTGGAGAGAGATTAAGCAAGCAAACCTTCATGTAACAGGAAGCATTTTGCCTCTGTAACGCTCCATGGACATTACAGTTCGAGCCAAGAAATAGGTGGGGCTGGATGGCTGTAAGAAGAGGTGTCCAAGGCACCCACTGAGGAGGGAGTGCACTTCATTGACCAAACACCCCCGACAGCCTTTAAAGTGCTTGCTTTAAGCCACCTGCAAGTGTTGCAGCACACAGGACGTTAACTAACACCACAAAGACGTGGGACTTCATGCCTACGTCCAGCAGGAATTTGCTACGTGACCTGATGCTTTTGTACAACTGCCAGCAAACCAGCCCCAGCTTCAACTATGGCTTCCAGCACTACAGCCCCTGTTTTGCAGCCGACGTGATGGAGACGGGTCCCTCACTAAACTGCACGTTTATGCCAGATAAAGTCAGAGCTATGGAGCAAAACGCCTGGCTGTGAGAGCCACCTCTTCCAGTTGAGTTCTACAGCTGCGGGAGCAAGGGATGTGAACCTCCTTACTAAGTCAGCAACTCCAGCTGCTGTTTCGTGATGAATTTGGGAAGGCTGACCATTGCAAAGGGATAGGCAGTCTCTTCAGAAAGTCTCCAAGTGACTTTGTCTCTAGAGAACATGACCCGAATCATCCCCTGCACACACAGAAGGAGGCTCCAGAAACCTGAAGGGAGGCCACACTGAGCAGCGGCAGAGCTCACCTCCTGCTGTGATGCCACCACCCTCACACAAGGCAAGACCAACTACAGCTTTTGAGGGCTTGACAATCATCAGCAGACCTCAAGATGTAAGGGACTTCCAATCGGCCTAAGGGATGAGAAGTCTGTCACTAGAAGAAAATAAATGGAGACATGACCCCATAGAGACACATACCCAACAGGCAGCTCTCTCTAATGCCGATTGTACAACAGCTCTCTAGGCCTCTGTTGCCACCATCAATTTCCACAGCACACTCACCTGGGAGTGACAGGACTACTGCTGAAATCCATACAAACAGCAGCACCCCAACACTTCAGATTTCCACCAGCTTCTGGAGCTCCCTGCAGAGATTACTTTTAAATTCTAGGGGACCTGGGATGTCATGAAGTGCCTTGCTTCACATGACATACTCCAGAACTGAAATCAAAAGCAGCTCCCGCTGTTGTCCTTCCATGACACCCTGCTCCACACTTGGGCCTCCAGACTCTGGACTTAACTCTGCTTGAAGACTAATACAAGGGGAAGGGAACCAGGATCTAATCTCTAACCTGTACGGTGTAATTTCTGGGTTTCTAATAGATATCCAGTCTGCAAGATGAGCACCTGGTCTCTAGGTTGTCATAACACACCCTCAGCTGGTGATGAGGCATCTGGTCATCACAGCTGTACTCCAAAAAAGCCATTTACTGGGGACATTTTGCACAGTAATGCTTCAGTAGAACACCCAGACAGCAGAACACCCTCCCCTGCCCTCTCCAGTTAACAAATGTGACTTGATTCTGTTTACCTTAACCAGTTAGGATGGAGAAAAAAAATATGTTATTTTCCCTGCAAGTTTTAAGAGGACTCCTGTGACGTTTTCCCAAAGTACTTCCCAGGGACCCCTGGCAAAGTGCTCACGTACCGTTCTGAAGTCCTCCTCGAACTTGTAGGCCCCACCTCCCGTGGCACAGAGCGTGGTGTGCAAACTGGAGAAGTTCTTCTCGCTGCCCATCTGGATGAACCTGTGCATGGCACAGCTGGGGAAGCGGATGAAGTGCAGGTTTCCCTTGCGGCCACACATGGTCAGGTTTTTCAGTTCCAGGTGAACATCGCGAATGCCAGTCTTCCCGTAGGCTGTGTTGGAGGTCAAGTATTTCCTAATGCTTTTCAGGTTTTCCACCTCCTCCTGCTCCTCTTCTGCAGTAATGTCCTTAGGTTCAAAGTAGACCAGTTTAACCAGTGTTCCACCGATATCCATTCCAAACCATGGAAACGCTACAGACAAGAGGGTTGGGGAGGAAGAAAGAGAAAGTCACTACAAATATAGAGGTGAATGACAATTCAGTGCAGTCACAGCAGCTGGTGGTCACTTCTGTGTCCAATTCATGTGTATTAAACACCTCCCAAAGTGCAGACTTCATAAAGCCTCAGTTAAGAAAAAGAATAATCCCAAAATACTCTTCTCTGGAGAAGCAGGTTTTAATAAAATGGAAATATTTTTCCCCAGGAAAGCATTTTCCTCTTCAGTCAGCACCTCCTGACAGAGCTCATTTACTGCATTTCACCCAGCCCGACTCCTTACCCCAATTCCTCAAACAGACCCAGGAGGGGAGGGGGAAGGAACAACCCAACAGGAGAAGATGATTTCTCGAGTCACATTCCTGCTGTGCAAGAGCCACAAGGGCCTTTCCAAGCCCAGCCAGAAGGTCCATGGTGACAGGGCTCTGTCCGAGGAGCAACACACAACTCTCCCATCATGCTGGGAGTCTCCAGGCTCCAACCCACCAGAACCAGCAGCTCTGGTGGAACTACACCACCCACATAGGTTAGTGGAAAGAGAATCAGCTGGTTTAAGTTCAATATTTACTACAGACAGTCCTCTTTGAGCACAGACTCCCTATCACACAACTCTACAAGAAATGCCACTATTTGCTTCTCAGCACATAGATATCTATATATTTGCCAGAGCTGGCCTAGGTCTACCAAAGCCTTTGTTCTGTTAATAGCAAGAGAAAATCACTGCAGAGAGCACACAGACAGAAGGTACCAGCTGAACCAGGCTGCTCTGCTTATATACACACACATATTTTAAATAGTAAGCCAGGTAACTTTACGAAGCAATAAGAAGCAAGAATACAGAACCTACACACAGATACTGCAGGAGGAGGCAGCTGGTAATGTTTCTTAGAGAAATTAAAAGTACTTAGTGTGGTTCTACTAAGATCCGTTTCTGAAATAGTAAACAACTTGGGACAAAGATTTTAATTAGCACAGGAGCTGCTGATGGCACTGCTTTTCCTCAGGTAATCACAGCTTGGTATTAAGTTACCCAACTTCAGGCTGAAAGGAGCTTAGAGCCTTTTACCTCTTACCACAAGGGTCTCAGCATCATTCTCATCCTGCTGAACAATTCCCAGGTCTGAATTTCACAGTTAGTAACACCACCACCCCCAACCAATCCTTAAATGTCAGATATTTAAAACAGTCATTTTGCTCCATTGCTGTATGGCAAATATTCAAAACATCAGTTTCTCCCTGCTTTCTCTAAGGACCAGGAGGGCATCTTGCATAAATCCCTGCAAGTACCCTGCTTACAGTTCAGTTCTTCTAAGAGAAAACCTACTGTTACCTGTTGCAAACTCTAATTCATTTTTCCATGCCCTACAAGCTGCAAGACACAAAGACACTGAAATGAAGCATTATTTGAGGCTTGGAAAGATACATCCTATGCAGGTGCATGAAAGCTCCCTGAAATGGGAAGAACTTGAAACAAGTGTTTTTAAAATAGGCTTTGTCTTAAAGAAGAGCAATGTGTTACCACACACTAACCTGTATCTCAAAGGCTTTTGGAAGTACAAGGTAAATATTGACGCGGCAGTGGTCTGGTCCCCACTGTAGCACACAGCAGAGCTCAGGACACCAATCCCATTAGCCATTTACACAAAGCTTTCTTTAAACTACTGAGAACTTTAATTACCTGTCTCACTGGAACTGTAAGGCTCCTCCTCAGATGTAGCTCAGCCATGCAGGCAGGAGGTTTAATCCTAAAAGCAGCAAGGTGGGACTGTACGACACAGAACCAGCCTGGAGCTAAGGGTAACCCAACTTCCAATATTTTACATTAAAGGCATAAAATCTGCTACAATCGACCTGCACCAAGAGTTCTCTGAAAGCCGTAACGTAGATTTGATCTTTAAAGAGAGGAAAGAAGCCCCCCACCCTCCTATCAAACACAAGCCCAGCAGTACAAGTGTTAAGTACCAACAGCTGAGAGTCATTCATAAACCACTGCCAAGGCATTTACATCTCAACATGTTGAGGGCTCATAACTAAAGCATTAACAAAGAATAAGCCCCAGAGAAAACAACTATGAAGTTATTCCAAGTCTGTACAGTTCTTGGGAGAGGTACAGATAATGCTCACATTTAAAAACCAAGCAGAAATGCCAGACTTTTTTTTTTTTCCAGTTTCTTCTCTGTGTGAATCGAAGCTCCTTTCATTTTGTCGCGAGCCAAATGCAGAGCTGCAGAAAGAGCAGAACTTTGCTCCCAGAACAGCAGCAGTTTTCTTCAGCACAAATAAAGAACACAAGATCAGGCCATAATAAGGGATATTTCAGCTACACAGAGCAGTTAGGCTGAAAAACAAGTCCCAAAGTATGAAAAAAGAATGGTTATTTGTGTAGATACAGTCTCCACAGACTTGAGGGAAAATGGGGAGGGAAATTGGGGCCGGGGTTGGTTGGTTGTTTGGGGTTTTGTTTGTTTGGGGCTTTGTTTGTTTTAAACTGGAAGTCCAGTATTTCATCCATAACCTGAATAAGTGTCCAGTTTCTTGAGTTACTGAAAAGCCAGGAGAAGGAAGTGGGATTTGTCCCATCCACACCTTAGGCTGGTAACAGTTACTCAAAGTAACCTGTGGGATTTACTATGAAAACGGAAGACACTGGGTACTTTGCAGAAATGCTTTCATAGGGTAAAAAATGCACTTCTTAACTCAAATTGTCTGATAAGGCTGTTACAGGCCAATTTCTCTCTTCTCAGCAAAGCCACTGCGCAACATACCTGTTGGACCAATGCAATCTCTCAGCGTGGAGAAAATAAAACTATTCTACTGTGCTGCCACACTGCAGTAAGGCGTAAAAAACACCATCACTATCAAAATCTAGTTGTAGGTCCCACAGAGCTGACACGGAAAGCGTCGAGATGAATCGCACCTTCTGAAAAGCCCAGCATAAATCAAAAGGCGCTGCTTATCTCCTTAAGAAAATTAATTCCCTTTATGCTAAAACTGCACCAACTACTTACTGGTTTGTTATCTCCAGATAAAGATCTCCCTTACTCCAAAGGCAGCCGCAGAAGCATGTGAGGAAGCAGCATGTGAGAAGGTGTCCCGGCGTTGCTCAATGGGGTAACACCAGGCTCCCCCAGCCCTGCCAGCTGGGGGAAAGGTTCCCGCCGCACAAAGCCCACATTTTACCTGCCCTCTGCACCAATTTTGGAGAGTGTGAACCTATAAGGCTATTCCTATAAGGCATAATTACATTCAGGATTGAATGCGTTTGATTTTTAAAAAATCCTGTGCTTCGTATACAATAACTAAGGGGGACGGGGGGCCAAGATGGAATCACAAGATGAGGGGAAGCAGGAACCAAAGGGAACTCCTCCCTCACTGAGTAACATTTTCCCCCATTAAAGAGGCTAATCCTTCACATGTGTTTCAACAACCACCACAGGAGCTTTGCTGAATCTTCTTGCTCTTCAACTCTTGGGAAGACATTGTGCCTGAGCCCCCTGGTTGCAACTTTCTTCTCCCTACCTGGACCCAAGAGTTCTCCGTGACCAATCTGCAGCAGTTTCTGTTTCAGTTGGTACGTGCCTCTTACGAGACCCGCGTTTCCTCGAACGTGGGTACAGTATCTCAGGGGTTTTATCAGCAATTTGAATGGTGGTATCAATGCTCTGATATCTCACTCATAAATATCTCAGATGACGTCTCTTCCGTTCAGCTGCTTTTCTTCCTGGACACACATATGATGAAATCCTACTGCTTCATTTACATTTTTCATTTGCATTTAATTTGCATGGCCTGATGCTTTGATAATCTAAGAACTTCCTGTTTTAAGTGGGACTGGAAGAGGGGAGAGAGAGAGCCAAAAATAAGAACAGGGGGAGGAAAAAAAAAAAAAAAAGAAGAATCAAACCAAGAGTGACACACGAGATGGGATTGTGTTCCTCACTGCTTCTGAAAGCTGCTTTCTATTAAAAAGGAAGCTGATAATAACTTACATATATGTTTCAATTACTTCTTCCTATTCTATACAGTTATTTTGGGAACCCAAACATGTTGCAAAACGGAAACATTTGTTTTCCTTTGAACAAAAATAGATTACATAGATTAAAAAAATATATATCTGCTTAGTAATGAAAGTTCTTCAAACTTTAGAAAGCTAGAGCTAAATAATTCATGCCCGTGTATCAGGTGAAGCCTTCCCCTTCATTCTCAGCAGCAAGGGCTTATTGAATGTCCACCTCCCCATCAGAAAATTAAAAGAAAAAAAAACAAAAAAAAAGCAAACACCCCAAAACCACAACCAAAAAGCTTCCAGCCCGAAAGCACAGAGGTTAAACAGTCATGACCATCCACACATACACAGTCTGTGACCACACACTGATTGCTGAAGGAGCCCAGGTAATTCCCTGGACTGCACAGCCTCATTAAAACACCCCAACAAATAAAAGCCAAACTTACAGGGCGACAAGAGACAGTGATTAGCTCCTGAGAACCTCATTCCTGGATCTGATGGAGGTTTCCCCTTCCTGCTGGAATTATCTTGTCAGTAAGGCAGATAAGGCAGGTTTAACTCCTGAGGTGCTGGGCCACACCACACCAATCAGTTCAGTTCGTTAGGACCGGTCCTGTTCCCCCAGGAGCCCTCACTTCCACCCTCACTAAAAGCAGCTGGGACTAACTTCACACAGGTCACCTGCAGACACTCTTGAGATTAAAAAGATTGTGGGATATTCCAGTGCCTCAGACAAGATTTCAGTAACCGATGATAATGTGTCAAACCAAGCGACCAAAATCATTTTCCCTCCTGTATTCTCCACTAAAATATACTATAGAATCACGGCATTCCACATTTAGCATCATCACAGGTGAAAAAACCCTAGGTTTTCCACAGTTTCCACCTGGCTTTAAGTTGTATTACAATAAGCACGCTGCAGCCAAAAAACACCTAAATATTGGCCAAAAGCCTCCTTTTTGTGAAGCTG